TTTGAAAAATCGCCTTTGTTTTAATTATCGACTCTATCCCCCTGAAAACCCCCTGAAATAGCTTTAACCATTCCCTAAACTGTCTCGAGTTTAGTACATCGCCTTTAATATATCCTCTTTATTCTGATTACAACTTCTTTCCCTGTGACATATTCTTCCACAATATTAGCAATAGGTTTGAAGGTTTCCTACCTGAAGTCAACCCAACAAGAATCTTTGCCCAGATTAATGTTTAACTCCTCTCAGGAGGGGATCTTTCAATTGTACCTCAACAAGGATTTTAATCATTATATTATTGATGCTTCCCGATTTTGGGACATAAACATTGCCCTGTCAAAAAACTTTCCTAGTTTGAGACCCGTGTCTAAAGAGATCCAGTGAAGTAGTAGATTGTGTGGGTTTAGACCCAGAGTTCTACTCTTTCTTCCTCTAACCACTCCATGCTTTCAGATTTCCACTCTTTAAGGAGAATGTATTGACTACAAAACTCCAAGATTTTTGTTTTAGAATCTTTTGTCTATCTTTATCCGTTCGGAAAACAAATTGAAACAGATTGTAGCCGACCATCCTCGTAAGTTCTCCAAACACTGTCAGAAGTGTCTTTAAGCCCATTGAAGTTTTTTTTTCTCCCCATAGATTTTTCCCAACAGGCTAAGCAAAAATTAGTGCACACTGACAACATTATCCTATTTTGATAAAGTAATACATGTTTCCTCCTCAGACGAAAGATCAAACTTTTGTAGCGTTGAATTTATTTTCGAATCCATGACCAGAAAGCTGAAGAAACGCATAGCAAAGAAGAAAACCACCAAAGGCCTGCGAATGAAGAACTGCATCAAAACCTGAAGAAAAGCACGGCAAAAGCAGGCAAGGAGAGAAACTAAGGTTAGCGAAGGAGGAGGAAGAAATAAACAAACCCTCAACAGAGAACAACCAAAGACGGGAGGAAAATGATTAAGAAAGCTAAAAAACCTAATTCACCAAGAATACCCTTAAATTCTGTTTAGATATGAACTTTTACAGAAAAATGAAACTCCTAAGCTCTAGAAAGAGAAAATCTCTCCAACAACGTGAACTCTGTTGAATTGAGGAGTGCTAGTAACAAAAAAATTTGAAGATAACGATCAACAACAACAACAAATAAAAAAAAAAAAAAAAATTGAAGAGATTGAGATTGACCATCAAAATTAGAGAAATTTAAGTGTTTTACATGTAACTTTGATTTGCATATTCATAAAGTTTTTATTGTAAATATACTAATTTATTGCATACGATTGATTTGGTATTATATTTACCCTTGATCTCTAAATTATATTATTTTTTGAATTATGACTCATTTATAAATAATTTATTGATGATTTTATTTTGAATGATCCTATTTATAAAAATAAAAAATCAAAGTGTAGTAACAGTTATATCGTATATTACTGTAAATTAAAACAACATTCTTTAGGGAAATTAAGAATGATTGGTACTTTTCTTACACTAGTGTTGAACCCGTGCGATGCACGGGAGAATATGGTTCAATAACAATTATTTTCGTAAGTTATGTTATTAAAAATTTGTATTTTTGCAAATCAATTGAAGATTTGAAACTTATTTTAATATTATTAAAAATTCCATTATAAATAGATTGATGGCATTACCAGTCACAGTGGTATTCACAAACTAATATTGTTAAACCAAGATCACTGCTGCATCTGATAGCACAAAATAGAGTTTTCCATGTATTGAAACATAATACCCGGACGTGTATGTTGCTAATTGTCATTGACTCTCTTTAATACTCATCAACCATCACATAGGAAATCACAAGTGGTGACTAAATCCACATGAATTTTAAAGGTATTTGCAGATCAAAAGGAGATAACGTATCACATATAGTTCAAAGACAACCTATTTTAAGAAGCTATTAATTTAAAAAAAAAAAAAAATCAATACAAGTCAAACTCATTATATTTATATATTATTAAAAACTTCCTTATACACAACATTTTTTGTCTGAGTTTTAGAAGCTTGATCTCCACCCAACCATAGTGTATGCATCAACAACGAACTGTTGGAATAATCTTCTAGCTGACAGAATAGTTAGTGCATCTGAATCTCTATCATGCAAATGATAAACAAAATATTCTCGAACACTAACAGTCGTTCGACCATCCTCTGTTACTTTCTTAAGTTCCGTAAAAGGGATATCTTCTCGAAACCCATCCTCGCCATAAGGAAGTAATAAAGGATATTGCAAAGCCAAGTAAGCAGGATTCAACTCATTGATACGTTGTAAACGTCCGGACTTTGATTCCACCAATATGTCACGATCACCTAATGCATCATCAAAATCACCAACTACCAGAACGGCCAGTTCAGAGCTAGTTGGCAAGTTGTACGTTCGAGCATCACTACCCCTCCGACCAATCAAACGCACCCTAACTTCTGTTTGGTTGTGTTGTTGAAGGTTTTCTTTTGCCATTCTGAATGTTTTCACAAGCTCGTTATGAACGTCCAACATATGTTTCAATCCATTAACAGTATCTGGATGGAGCCTGTTTTCATCATTGGAACGCCTGAAAATAAAAAAATATATATATAAAAAAAAAGAAAAAAAAAACAATGTCAAACCAAAGTTTAGCTAATTAAGTCGACAATTTAAATAATTGAAACTTATAGTTTAGACTACCTGACAGAGTTTAATCTGTTAGAAACTTCATTGTTTGTGTCATAGATATACATTTGTGCAAATTTAGGTGCCTGCCCATCCGAGGGAAGCAAACTACCCATGAGGTGGTAGTTCTGGCCGTGAATTTTTTTTTTTTTTTTACCTATTCTCTCAGCATACCAAAAGAGCGTTCCACAAAAAATGCATTTATATGATGCATCTTCAAAATTCAAATGTTCTGGAAAAACGTAAAAAGAAAATAAGTCATTATTAGCAAATAGTAAATTTATTTAAAATTATACGTACAATAAAAAAACAGGAATGATTGCGTACCCGCATTCGTCGTCCGATTGTTGCGACGTCGCACAATAGTTTGATTGTTTGATGTTTGATTCCTATTATCGGCAACATGTATACCCTCAGAATCATCATCACTAAGGTCAATGACTAAATTTGGATTGGTTTTGATATGGGCAATGTTGGAACTCTGCACATGATGCCTGACTGTGGATGCATTGGTTGAAACTGACAGTAAGACAATAAAAAATGTATTAATGGTATAAAAATAAAAGAATATATAAGTAGTAAATATGGCTGGTAGCTACTCCTGAAAATGATTTATTAATTGACTTATAGATATTAGATCAAATCGTTTTGTACACCAACTATTTTACGCATTTAATTTTATATGTAAATATGCAATAATAATAGACGATTGATAAAGATAAAATATTTAAATTTAGAAACAATTTTACCATTAGTTATATCAGTCAGAGGCATGCGAGCAAACGGCATCTTAACGCGTTTAGTTGAAATTACTCGTTTGTTACATTGTCTCTCAGTGGGAAATTGGTTTCCGAACCATCAAATTTGATAGATTTGATGTAATAACTGTGGTTTGCCTCAAAGTATCATTTTCATCTGCAACTAATCAAATAAAAACTAAATAATAAACATGAATATACATACACATATATACAATATACAAATATATATAATATATATTCATTGCATAATGTATATGAAGAAAAAAAAATTTTTGTGAACCATACACCATAAACATATCAAAATAAATAAAATAAAATATTTCAAAAAAAAAAATTACCAATTTTGGAACTTTCGACTCTCGTACGTTTTTTGCCAATTATTGTATGCCCGGTTAACTGCTTCATGATTCTTGTGATTGATTGTTCAATAACCTCTGTTCAATAACCTCATGTTGATGCAAAAGAAATTATATTTTTATTGAAAATATGTATATACAATTGTGAATATACATCTATAAAAAATAAAATAAAATCTGGAATTGGGTGATTTACATTTTACAAAAATCGACAAAGACGAACCTGAGGCGCAGCCTGAAAAGTGAAGGTCGCAGGTTGGCCGAGGTGCTCCGGCGGTGGAGAAGTGCTGCGCGCGGTTTTTGTTGGACTGGTTCTGCTGGCCTGACGTGGATGGCGGATTTTCTGAGCAAACAGATCGCCGATAACTTGTTGTAGATCGGTGCGGTGGGGATCGTTTTCTGGATAAGGCTCTAAAGATGAGATGATATGAGATCCATTCCCCTCTATCGTGATTTGTAAAGTCATGATTTTTACTTAATTAAAGGAATGATATCTTACCAATAAAATTCGTGAATCTCTGAAATATAGTTTTGATTGGTTTTAACCTTAATCTTCCAAACTATGATATCATAACCACGTTGTTTAATTATTCAAAATTTTCCTAAATTTTTGCCATGAAAAAACGTAAAATATCTTTACATTCCTATGAACATTAAGTATATTGTAAATAGAACATTTTTTGTTGGCACACAAAAAATCTGTATTCCAAATTAACTGAAAGATTTAGTAGAGTTAAAAGATGATAATAATTAATATATATTAATTAAGCAGTATGCAAGAAAAACAACAACATGGACATGTAACAAAGAGGTTTGACATGTGAAAAATCAATGAAATATTACACTTGATAAAATATGTAATCGTAATGAAATGCAAACGAAACTCTGTATATTACACAGTTCATGTTTCAGGCATACTTAACTCATCACATGACCAAATTTTTGCAGTGATGTGATGTAATGTAAATACTTCATAACATAATATAAACCATGTAATGTAATGTAAATATTTTATAAAAGAATATAACAAAGAAAGTAGAATAGATATTGTATCAAAATTAGTTCATTCAGACAATTTCATCCCAATAATCATGAATAACATTATTAAAGTGGTCCCTAAATAAAATCACGTAAACAAAGTCTCACACGATAATTTATTGTACCCAACTAACTCAAAATAGTAATTTATTTAGATAATAATAATAATATAGTAGCGACATTCTATGCATTCACATCATCAGTATCCTCAAAAGAAGAAGTGGAATCGTCATCTACCCCCCTGTTGTTCGCATTGACCTTTTGTTGTTTCAATGGCTTCGAAGAAGAACAACCCTCTTCAAAAAGGGCACGTTTAACAGAGCTATCACCGACGATTTCCTTGAGGTTTTGCTCTTTTAATGGAGTGCTAACTTCCTCTTCTGATTCCTATACAAATTAATTAAATAAATATAAATTAAGCTTGGTAAAAGGAATAAAGAATAGAAAATATTTATTTTCGATAATAAATAAAATACGACGTTAGAAATATAAAATAAACTTTGCGTCTTACATAGCCTCCTTTTAGTTCCTTTTGCAACATGGTCAGAAAATCCGAGTCCTAATAACAATGATAGCAATAATCTTTGTTACTGATATAAACTAAAATAAACTATAATTTTTAGAATTACACTTTTGGTATAAGAATATGGTACCTCAACATTAATGGTTGATTGGTTGAATTTCTCAACCAACTTTTCATCTCCTATGATTCGGTTCACCGTGTATGATCCACTGTATCCACTAACTTCTTTCGGCTTGACCAAGATCTTAAACAAAAGTGTCTTACCAACCACACCTTCTATTAGTGGCAGTAGATTATCGTGGCCCTGTTCCTAAAACGGCGAGAAAATAAAAGTGACTTTATATCCTATAGTATGAATAATTAATAAATGAATACAAGTAATTATACTTGGCATTAATAATATATAAATATTATTAATTATTAGAATATAAAGAAAATATTCATTACCTCAGCTTCATTTTTAAGATTAAAGCATGATTTACCATCAACAAACTTGGAGAACACGGGATCCCAACAAATTAGGGAAATGTCTCCAGTAAAATCCCAAACATCCATTTCAATTTTGTACCTACAATATGAAATATAGCTCGTCACTTCAAATTTTGGTGTTTGAATTATTTATTGTAGAAATATTGAAATCAAACTCTTAAACCTGAAGAGAGGTATTTTGATATCCCCATGTTTTTCACAATGATAATTGTTGCCAGAACGTTTGACCTTCTTTGGACACTTTAGCCATGAGATGTACCACCAATTTTGTGATATATTTCTCACTTTTGCGCATATCCAATGCTCTCCAATCTATAAAACATATACATATCCTTTTTATATTCATTTTATGAATGATATGAGATGCCAAATGATTCATTTAAAATCAAAACAATATTAAAGAATAAACAATATCAAAGTATATATAAGTGAATTTACCATTTTGCCAGCAACAAAGTAGTCAAGAGTCCTAACATCAATATTTCCAGCCGCCAATTCCTCAAGTTCTGATTTTTTTGATACAACACTCTCAAGAATTATCGAACCTCCTTCCATACTTGAAAGCCTATATAAAAGTCATATCATAAATTAATTAAAATAGCAAGATTAGTATGAAATAATATGTATTGAAATGATGTTAATCATAACTGCATTCAATTCTAAATATATTCTCCACTGTCTACCCATTTGCACACGAATTTTAGACTAATACGTTATTTATAATTAATATTAATTTCCTAATGATTTGAGCCCATTGACCTATTGTCGGATATGATTTCCTCATCATAAGGGAGTAATATCATTACCTATAATATATCCGCTCAAAAAGGATATCTTCTCTCAACCAAATATAATATCATTTTTTGAAAATAAAAATACATTACCTATCTTTGTAGGCTTGGATCTGCGGCACAAGAACTCCAGTCTCTACCCTCGTGGCATTGTATGAAGTTGAGATTGTTACAATATCTAGAAATATAATAAAAAGTTAAAATATATGTGAAATTTTACAATATGAGAAAATATTTAAAGAAATTATGATCTTACTCCCACGATAACTCTCCCATATCTTTGCACGACACATTTGAAGAATCACCACAGTTGAGGTCTATCGTAAGTGCTGACATATGACGTAATTTCATTGATATGGTGTCCCCACAGCGAACATGTCATTCGTTTTCTCCTAGTAATTAATTAGGGAATTGAGAAATCTATAGATCAACAATGGTTTACAAAAAATGTAATTTAATACTAATAATAATAATAATTAACAACTAATAATAACTATTATTACTTACTCAAGATCCTCAAGGACGATCTCCATCACTTGATTGGCATAACCACGAATGTGCTTGGTTTGCACCTCACCAAGCTCGACCAGCCTTCCAATGACGTCTGCAGAAATAAAATGATATATCAAATTAAAAAATTTAAATATCAAATTCTTAATTTCAAAAACAAAGTCAAAAGAAGTGTTACATAGTATAACATCAATTTACCGTAAAATAATATATGAAAAAATTAAATATACTTACCAATGAGAAGAGTGTCACAAATTTTTTCGGGAATCAATTCTGAGAAGGGTGTAAAACTAAGAGTGTGATCAGGAAATTTCACAACCTCAATTTCATTGCACAAAGTGCGTCCGTTGAAGCAAAAATGATAGTTGGCAGTTGTTGTTTTATATTGGCCCTCTTGCTACTCCTCCAAGTGGTAATTTTTTATAGCATAAATTTTTCCTTCCACAAGAGTCTTCTTGATATCTCTATCCTTTTGTTTTATAGTAAAAGTATTTAAATTTCATATGCAACATATCAAATAAAAATCTACAATTTAATTTCTTCATGTGCGTGTGTATGATGAAACTAATGTGTATGAAAATAACAATTTTTATGAACCACACACAATAAACATATCAAATCAAATAAAACAAAAAAAAGAAAGAAAAAAAAACAAAAATTTATGTTTCCTCGGAATCATATTGCCGGATATAATATTTGGTAAGCGGAAAATCAATTTGCTAATATTTGGACCAATCAATTGTAAAATCAATTTGCTGACATTAATAAAATCAAAGGAGTGCAAGTATCCCACCGTCATGGGCAAAATCAATTGTAACTCTTTGGTACATTAAATTAACGATCGTTTTCTCGGAATCATATTGCCGGATATAATATCAATTAAAGAAAAAAAAAAAGAATAGCACATTAAATTAACGATAAAAAAAAAACAAAAAAAGAAAAAAGAAAAATTTACATATTGCCGGATATAATATCAATAGATATGAATAGCACATTAGATAGCTAGACTAAGAATATTCTACAATATACGCACCTCGGAATCATGAAAAATGCACTCAATAGTGAATCACGTTTTCTCCATGGGATGTAACTCTTTCGTACATCCTAATTAGACGAAGTTTAAGAGCCAATTGTGGCAATGAATTCGTCAATTTTTTTATCGACACAAAAAGGGGAGGCATTGTTTATCAGCTTTGTTTGTTGAGTACGTATACAATATTTCTTCTGCGATGGTAGTCTTAATCTTATTCAATATTTATATAATCACATCACACGTAAAGATGGTAAGATGTGTATATTAATTAATAAGTTAATTATAATTGACATAAAGATGGTAATATATTTATATTAATATTTGCATAAAAATGCAATAGAATCATTCTAATTTTTTTGATACCATCGTTATGTAAGTTAAAGAAAAAATCTTTGTCTCACAGCCAAGCAAGATTCACAGGATCAATAAATATCCGCTAATTGGATTGGTCCAATTTTACTTTCGTAAGTAAAATCAATTGTACAAACAAAATTGGGACACGAACAAGAAATTGGTAAGCGGAAAATCAATTTGCAAATATTTGGACCAATCAATTGTAAAATCAATTTGCCACGGGCAAAATCAATTGTACAAACAAAATTTTCAATTTTAGCTGAAAAATTTTAAGCGGGAAAACTTCGTCCATTTTTGGCAAAATAGATTCGTCCATTATATAGATATAAATATAGATATAGATTCACGCTATTTTTCGGTAACAGTCTGATTGACCCTCAAAATGCTCAACTGATGGCCAAACGTCCAGCCCATACATTAGATGGGCCTGAGCTGGCCCAGTATTTCAGTTTAAACCCAATCGATATAGCCTCCTGCTTCAAAATGCTCATTTTATATCCAAGCATGCTCTCAGCATTTCGAAGCTCCACTCAATTCGTCCATGGAATCCTTCAATCCTAACAAACACCTGAAAGAACAGTAAGCACACACGATTATTCGCTCTTTAATTTGATTTTAGTTACAATTTCCCTTGTTCGATTCTCGTGCTCAAGTTATTATCATTGAGAGATCAAGCCTTTTTGTTTCAGATTTGTGAGCAACTTAATTGGTTCTTCCAAGCTTGAGATATTCTTCCTCATCACAAATTTCTCGGTGAATACTTAATTATGTCTTTTTTCTTTATAGTTTTCGACTTTGACCTTCTTATCTTCCATATTTTGCCAGATTCTGATACTTATAAGACATTGCATTGGATTCAGTTGGACCAATTATGGTAATGTATTGTTGAAAGTCTATTTATATTCGATTTTTTTTTTTGGGATCAAGTGTTGTCTTTTTTGTACTGTTCTTCTTATTTCCAAAGCTCAGTTTTTGTTTGCGGGTTCTTGGTTTTGTCAGGTTCTAGTAAGAAAGATGATAATGCTTCTAACAGTTGCAAGAACTTGAAAGCCTACATTGCGACTCTGAGTCTTGATTTTCTCTGTATTGCGATTCCTTACGCCTTGTTCATGACTGTAAGTTATTCTTAATCTGCATACTTCTTAGAATCTTCATGCGTGACATTTATTGACCTATGCGATTAGTTCGTGTGTGCCGCAGTTGTTGAGTGGTAAATGTAAATAACAATACATGTGTACACATAATTTACAGCTATACCGAGAGTGAAGCATTTTATTGTATGTTTCTCGTGGAAGCACTTAAGAATAGTTATCTGTTCATTATATATGGAAGTTGTGGATGGTAAACCGACTAGCCTATGACAGGTTCTGGCCGAATGGACTCATGGGATCACAATTTTGGTGTTTGTGCTGCTGCTTTTGTTCAGAATGTTTTGTAGGTAAACTTTTTGAGCTGTAACAGATTTTTCTACTGTGAAGGCTTTAGCTCAATTAAATTCTAGTGCTTCTTCAATTTAGTGAAGTTTCTAGAAAAAAATATATATATATCAAACGGCGCAATGCACCTTGGGTCGCTACGGAAACAGCGACCTTGTATAATTACAAGGGTAAGGTCTGCGTACAACTGACCCCCCAGACCCCAACCTGTTGGGAATATACTGGGTATGTTGTTGTTGTTGAATGCTTTAGCTTTGTGTTTCTTGAGATAACTCTAAAGTAGATTCTCTATAACATTCAGAATTAATTTAATCTTCAGTACAGAAATGGATCATCACTCTTGCAGGAAAATGGCATTAACTCTATTAGGGCCACCATCTCCTCCTATAGGGTTTCTATGGTATGTTACGAAACTGGTAGTTTGCCTACATTTTTTGTTTTGTTAATTCCATGTTGGAATATATTCTTTGTGGACTATGTTACAAAAACGACTTAAATGCAGATGCTTGGTACATCCCTCTGTATTTTGGCTGTTGATTTCAAGATATTTCCCAGAAGATATGCAAAAACAGAGACATATGGTTCTAGCTTGGTGAGAAATAGCTTTTCTGTACTCGAACACAGGTGTCTATTTGATTATTTGATTTAGCACTGTTGATTTTGAATTTTTTAGGTAATGTATTTCTTTATATTTTAAAATTTGTTCTCCTATGCATCTATTAAGGAGTTACAGATGAGAGTTGAATCATGAATTTTACGCTGGTTCCCTTAAAATTAGCAGGTGGGAGTATGAAGTCTGAACTTATTACCTTTTATTGGGATGTACTGTCTAGTCATGCTTCATGGAGTATTATTTTATGTGTCTTTACTTGCTAGGCCTGTCTCTTTAATGCACAAATTGAACTTTATTTGAAACATTATGTTAGATACTATTGGAACCAAAACTAGGTTCTGGGGGATGTACTAAGTTGGTAATCATGGCCTTATGGTATGCTAATAATTCTCCCTAATTTTCTGGCCATGCTAGATGGATCTTGGTGTAGGATCATTTGTAGTAGCTAATGCGTTGGTTTCACGACAGGCACGTGGTATTATAAACATGTAAGTGCCCTTTTGTTTTTCTTTTTGGAAAGACTTCTGTCCGATTGGCTACGTGTGTATCATTCCCTTTTCTTGTCCATCCATATTGTTTCTTGTTGTGATGGCTTCTGTTGTTTAAGTATATTATGCCTCAATGCACTATGTTAAACTCTTGCAGTTGCTGTTAGTTTTCACGATCGTCATAACTTTGTTGAAAATAACAAATTAATAATTTGGAGTTAAAATATCTTCTTAGCTCATTAGCTGAAAAGGTACATGGCAGCCCTATTTATACATCATCTCACATGCAAGATGACAAGAAAAGATAGCAAAATAAAACAGTGTCGTCACAGTTAAATTGACTACAGAAAATAAAATGAAGGACGACTTTTCTTTCGGTTATTTAAAACTGCAACACTTGCCACTTTGTACCGTCATCTTAAATTATCTTTTGTAGATTTAATGTTATTGATTAGGTACTCTTGTGCACATGGTAATCCAGGACATTTAGCTATGCTCTTCGTTCGACTGGTCCATTGATCATTTTGGGGTTTGCTCGACTTATTTCCACTTCAAGTGTAAATTATCAGGTCGATTAGTTTATCGTTATTTTCTTTTTCTTTGCTTACTGCTATATGTGTTTGCGTTTATCATGTACTGCTTCCTATGAAAAATATTGTTCCACCTGCAGATTTAAAAGTACTTTATAAGCAATAGTTACTATCTGATATTTCTGATATATATAAAAACTGACTGCCTCAGTGAAAATTTACTTGATTTTTTTTCTCACTCCTCTGTATGAGGAATTGGTAAACAAGTTACCGGAGGAAAAGATTTTATATTTTTTGAACTTGTTCCTTGCTGCTTTCTTTCCTTTTTTTTTTTTNTCATCTTTTTCTTCACTCAATGCCTCTTTAATTCGTGCTCATTTCCTGATTACTTTGTGTTCCGCTTTCTCCCTACAGGTTCATGTTGGTGAATATGGTGTGCATTGGAATTTCTTTTTCACTCTCGCTGCTGTAGCTATCCTCACTTCTGTTATAAACGTTGATTCAAAATACAGTGGAGTTCTAGGTTCCTTCATCCTCTTTGGTATGTTTAAAGTTTCTCATTTTCCAATTTTGCTACGAGAACTGGTAGGTCGTGTGATTTGTTCATTTGGGTGAAATGATGTGCAATATCAGCCTATCAAGCCTTGCTGTCATGTGGGCTAAATGAATATCTCCTTTCGGAAGAAAGGGGAACAGACATCTTCAGCCAAAACAAGGAAGGAATATTCAGCATATTTGGTAAGAATCCTTTTTGTAGTGTACCCTTTGACTATTCATGCAATACGAAGATAAATCTAATATCTATTGTTTCTCAATGTCCATTTGAAACTGATATTTTATAACAAAAATATTTTATTTTTTCAATATAAACTTGTCAAAATGGATGTTTCGAATTATGTTCACTAGAATGATACTGTTCGTTGTTGCTAGAAATTAGAATGTATTTATTTGTCTTGATTCCAGGGTATTGGGGAATGTACCTACTTGGTGTCGGAATAGGAAGATGGCTCTTCTTTGGAGACAATTTAAAAACCAAGAAATGGGCCACAACTAGAGTTTGGGCTCTTTGCTTCTTTTTCTGGTACGAGGAGTTTTTGCTTTTAGCCTGAGCATTTTGCTTTTCCCTCATTTAACACTACAACAATTAAATAGTTTGATTTTCTTCGTGTTGTAACAGGGCATTAACTTTGTTTCTAGAGTTGCATATTGAAAAAGTATCTCGTCGAATGGTAAATGGCACTATGATGTGTAATTTCACACAATTTCTCAGCTAATTATGTTCTTATCACATCCTCCGACACGAGGATACCAAAATAACTTAAACTTTTGTGCAGTGCAACGTGGCGTATGTTTCTCTTACTTTGGCTTGCAACCTTCAGGTAAATTACAACGTATTTGGTCTAGTGAATCTGGAAAAGTTTTTTTTTTGTTTTTGATCTGGCATAGTATCATCATTGCAGAACAACAATTATAAGAAAAAAAAAATGACATCTGCTCGAAAATGGTCTTCATATAATTGAAGTGCCTGAAATTCTTTCCATCAGTATTTTTAACTGAAATGTACTTTTGCAGTAGATGATTTGCTTCAGGAACGGTATATAAATGCATTGCTTCCGGAACTGTGTGTAATGCATGAAATATTTGACCAACTTCATTGTATTTCTGTACTCGTAGTTGTGCTGGAAAAATAAAATAAAATTAGTTACCGATTTTCTTCTTCATCTATCAACCTTCAGGCTTCAACTTGCTCCTTTTTTT